TGTTAATGGTTGTAGCGATGGCTACGAGCTTGGATTCGAAGCGTGTTTCCATTGCGGTGATGGCAGCCTGGATCGATGTGCGCGTCGATATCATCGAGGGTGAAGGCACGGGCGGTCTGGAGGAGGGGTGAGACAACGGAGGCAATAGAAATGTCATCTACAAGGTGAGGCTGTCAGCAAGGAGGAGTGCCAGATTCATCTATGGTATCCGTTTCCTGAGCGGAGGTTACAGGCGGGCCTGACGGGGATGTGCGGGGGGGACGGGGGTGTGCGTGGGGCAAGGGTTTCGGTGAGAGCTAGGCGATAGTTGCGTGAGTTTTGTTTAGTCAAGGTGCGACGGGACGGGTGCGGAGGGGGGGATGAGGGGTGGTGGTTGATTTAAGGGTGGGAAGTAGGTGGCTGGACGGCGGGTTTGGAGGGCTGCTGCAGAGCCTTTTATACTGGGAGAGTTCGGCTGTCTATTGATCCAGTCGCCAGTCTGGCAGCACTGATCCAACAGTCTGGCAACTGTTCGCATCGCATTCCGAGTCTCGTCGTCCGCCATGATGTGCCTTGTCGTCTCGAGCCGGCAGCCGTCTGACTAGTGTGGAGCGAGAGACGACGGTGAAAGTGATCGTTCTGCGCTGCGCGAGACGTTAGAAGAAAACGTAATGGGGTGCTGTAGTGTCGTTGGGTGCTCGAACAGCGCGAAAAAAGGCTTCAGGATGTACCGGTTCCCGCAAGGAAAAGAAAACCATGCAAGGCACAAGATCCGGGAGGCCAAAACAAGGAGTGCTAAGTGGAAGCCGACTTCGAGTTCTCGATGGTGCGAGGTAATATTATAATTAATTTATTTTGTAAATTAAACGCGTTTTATTTTGACTAAAACTGTGCAGCGACTTGACGCGGCAGCGTCAGGTGAGAGTGTCCGTTGATCACGAAGCCGTTTCCTGCCGCGCAAGACCTGATACTGGAGAGCGGCCTAGCTTGCCAAATTTGAACTGCGTATACCAGTGGTCTCAAACTCAGCTGAGTGTGGGGGCCAGATAGCCCACAACGGAAAGGCTGAGGGCCAACGTAAAACTGCGGGCAGGGGGGAAGGGGTGTTGGAAGATTCAAGATTGTATTGAGAAGAGACCTCGTGTGCCATGCTTTTCGTAAACTCACAGTTTTGCAAACAACATCTTTTAATCAGATTAGTTTTTTTGACTACTTTGGGTTCTGCCCTGATGCGTGATATCAGAAATTAAAATGGCACTGGCCCCGCCAACGTGCTGGCATTTTTAATAGGACGAGAGAGCAAGTAATCTGTCACCGTGTCTTTAAAACACAGTAATTTAATTTGAAAGTTTTCGATTCCTCATAATTGCTATTATAAAACTCTGAACGAATACCCGCCTTTTAGTTGTGATATTATCTTGAAGGCGAGAATCCCGAACTCATAGCTTTATCTTTAGCAGTTGCTCCTGCTAAGCAATAGTTTGTGCAGCCGACATGCATCCTTCAACGAATAGCTCCAGGTTGCAGACTAGTAGCCGGAATGGTTGCTCATTACAAAAAGCTGGGAAGCAAGAAATGAAGCGAAACAAAGGGCAAATCAACACAGAAAAGTATAAAATATGGGCACAGGTTAAAAGAGCAGAGCTATGCTTCTCGAGCGAAAATGAATCGACGAGATGAAATCACTATGACAGACGTCATTTCTAGCGCTCGAGACATGAAAACCGGGACTCGCAGCCGGTTGCCTGTGGGCCGCTTCTCAGCGAGTCGGAGGCCGCACGCGGCCCGCGGGCCGCGCGTTTGAGACCCCTGGTGTATACTGTATTTGTTGCAAGCGCGTGCACGTCGCGCTGAACGACGCGTGCACTGTACGAGCGCACGCCCTCTGTCGGCACGTTCAAAGCATTCATCTCGCTCTCGTACCTTTCTCTACGCTCGAGTTTTTAGAAGCGGCCTCATAGCTCCGCTTCGCCGTCTCGCAAGCGCTTTTGTTTCGCTAGCGATACCTTTATTTTTATTTTTTTTTTTAAATACGCGTAGTAAATACTTACTTGTCATGCCTTTTTTTAGTTTTTTTTGTAGGTGCACTTCTCAGATAGTGAATTCGAAAGCGGTTGTTGATCCCAAAAAGCTCAGGCACAACGCGATGCCGACGCTGCTTTTTCACAGCAAACCAAACAATGTCAAGAAAAAAAACCTAAAAGACCGGCAGGCGAGGCAGCACGGCGGAAAATCACGATCGGTCCGCCGTATTCCGCACAACGGTGCACAAACCTTGTGATGTGGTAAACAGTCGGGGAGCGATCCAGACAATCAAACTTGCCCACTGAAAAATGCGCACAAGGCCGCTGAGCTGTGTCCAACTTCGGGCGTTTTTGAGCTATTCCCCATTTATTAATGAGTGCCGTTCGTAAATGGGCGGTTTGTTTGCTAATTTTTACATGAATAAAGCACCGAATCACAAAATGGTTGTTTTCCGACTTTCTCCTCACGGCAACAAAAGCGCGAACGGCAAAACCTACACGCGTATGCATCGCACGTCAATGGGAACCCACTTGCCGGGAGGCACATCATGGCGGCAGCGGAACCCGCTGAATCCGCTAAACCTAGCGGGCCGTAAGCCCCTCCCATCCGCCGAACTCTCCCAGTATAGACCAGTGTCCGCGCCAATTCCAGGGCGCCGCCATGTTTATCTACGCTCGCGCCACCACGCGGAAAGAACTGGCAGGCAGGAGGGGGGGGGGGGGGGGGGGGGGGGCTGCGTTGGCGGCGTTGCTTTGGGGAACTGGATGCGGCAGGCTGTCCGAATGCACCGACACATCGTGAAGGAAGTCTTCACCAGAAGCCTCCGCGGCCCTTTCTTCAACAGATAAGATGTCGTGAACATTCGAGAACCCATCTCGATCAAGAAAACAAGGGAAAACCTTTCTTGTCTTAGATGTTCTCGGTGTCTGCTGACCCTTGACATCCGCGTTTCACTCCGGGTTCATTGCGTAGTAAATATTTCTCTACCACTTTCTTGTAGCTTTCAAATGCTCGATTGTTGGCTTCTTGTATACGACATTACATTCGTGGCACGTTTTAGACCGATTTTTGCGATCTACTTGCCTTTCTGTGGCAGCGCGGCTCTGCCGAGCCGAAATAAGTGGGAGGCGTTCACTTGATCGAAAGACGTTTTAGCGAATGAAAACAAGACCTCGGCGTTTCATCGAATGTCTAGCGAATGGCGGCATTCATATTAGCGAATGGGTTTAGTTACATAAACAGCTCGGATTAGCTTTCTTTTGTAATGTGCCGCCTTGCCTACCGCCGCGAAGCGGCGTAAACAAAGGCTCCGAGTATGTTAATAACACGCGTCCCCCCGTCCCTCCCCGCCCCCCCACACTCGCTGCGGGCGTCTGGGTTCGAAACTATTAATTGCCAGTTCTAAAGGATGGTACTTACTTGAAGTGGGAGCTGGAATTCTACGAGCAGCTGCGAAAGGTGATTAGGGCTGTGCTGGTTTTGCCCATCATGTGGGCAGACAGGACGTTGCAGGTTTCGGTCTCAAGGTGTTTGAGGAGCTCCTGCAGGGGAGTATGGGGCTTTACTTGGTGTATGACGCCTTTGCAGGAGTCGTTCGGTGGCAGTTCGTATATCTGGATGGGGTGATGTTTATCCGAAATGGTGGGAGAGTTGACGGCGAGGAACTTGGGGACGGTGTGAGAGTCTGTTATACTGAGAGTGACGAGATTTTAGAGCGCAGCTCTTAGGCGCTCGTTTCCAGCTTGAGCGGCGTCGCTGTTGGCGTCGGCGTAACGCGCGTTGCATTATGGGAAGTTTCCCAGAATGACGTCACGATCCCTCGTGAGGGTTACGAGGGTTACTCTCTCGAGGGTTACAAGGGTTACCCTGGCGAGGGTTGCGAGGGTTAGTTACCCTCAAAAGGGTTACCCTCACGAGGGTCACGAGGGTTATTCTCACGAGGGTCACGAGGGTTACCCTCACAAGGGTCACGAGGGTTATGAGAGTTACCCTCACGAGGGTTACCGTCACGAGGGTTTACCCTCACGAGGTTCACGGAGTTACCCTCACGAGGGTTGCCCTCACGAGGGTTACCCTCACGAGGGCCACAAGGGGTACCCTCGCGAGGGTTTTGAGGGTTACTGTCAAGAAGGTCACGAGAGTTACCCTCGTGACGTTACACGCATCTAGCATTGCCAATGTTCCCGCTAAGTTTAGCGGGGAAATTTTTCCCCTAGATTTATCGTAAAAAGTTCTCGCTAGATTTGCCCAAGTGACGTCACGTGTGACATCACGAGGGTAAAAATTTTCCACTATATTTAGCGGAAACTTTTCTCCGCTAAATTTAGTGGGGAAGGAAGCTGGACATACCCTCCCCTCCGTACCATCCCCCCCCCCCCCTCCTCCTCAAGAGCTGCGCTCTAATTCGGCGTTACAGAAAATTGTAAAAGTCTTTAATTTTTTTCGGAGCTTGAATGGTAACAATAAGGGAACGGGTCTCACTATCCATGAGGAGAGCCATGCTGCTCAGAGCAGAATGAAGGATGTGGGGCCATTGCGTGGCACGATTGAGACCATGGGAAGGGCGCAGAAGAAGGAATTCCGCAGGTTTACTGTTTTTCGGTGAACGCTGGGCTACTGCAGTCCACCCGTCGGCGTCCGTAACGTAAAGGCGACGCATGCTTGGAGGCAGTAATGTACGCGGCCGAGCCGCGGCGTAGGTCGATGTTGGTGGCAGCTTGATGGCAAAGCCGTCCCGCAGCCCGAAGCGGCGTTAGGCTTACCGGCATGGTTTCCGAGTGGGAGCGCAAAAAGTACTTGTATAATTCAGATGGGTGGTCCGATAAAGGTCAGACTTGGCCTGGGAAGTCACGGGGCGCTTGGACACAGGATTCGAGGGGTGGTTAGAAGAAACCCGCCGAAAATCAGGCGTCAGGTCCAATTCGGGACAGAACGAGGCGAGTCGTGTCAGGCGAGCCATCGACGACGACGACGAACAGACCTCACCCTTCTAAAAGGTCCGATGAAGGCCACGTGGGCCGACATGCACGACACGCTCACTAGCGATCACACCCTCATCAAGATCACCCTCCACGCAGCCAACTACAAACGATCCAAGCCCCGCACTTGCTGGCTAACTGGACAAACTTTCGTGACGAAAGCGACCCACATGATTCCTCCCCTTTTGCCGATGATAAATCTGTCGCATCCACATGGGGTATGTGGATGCGACAGATTCATCATCGCACTCAGCTCCACTCTCAGGAATTACAACCAGACGATGCACCGGTGGCGGACGCCCACCTTCTCCATCTGTGGGAAGCTCGTCATAGCCTCATTCGCAGGTGGAAGAGCAACAAGTGCAACAGCCGCCTGCGCAAACGCATCTCCCTCCTCAGTGACGAAATAGCCACCTGCTCGGACTCTCTTACGCAAGAGCACTGGTACAGCACCTTTGTAAAAACTTAGCAATACTTTGCATCTTGCCTCCGCGTGCAGTCTCAAGAAAAAAGGGTGTCAAAAGGTGTATTCTTACAGCCTTTGTCCCATATAATACACCCCCAAACTTCAATTCGACATACAGCGCCTTACAGTCGAACAGACGGCCCGAAATTTTACAAGGGGCTTGATAGCCGAGTGGTACAACTTATTAAAATAGCTAATGTACGTTTTACTGAACACGAAAAAAATAATCCGGGTTTTCTTGGCCCTACTGTAAAAACTCGGTGTTTTCTTTATGTGTTCTTTGATACGTACTTTAGCTATTTAAAATGTACCACACGGTTATCAAGCCCCTCGTAAAATTTCGGACCCTCTGTTCGACTGTAGGGCACTGTACGTCGAATTGAAATTCTGGGGTGTATTATTTTGGACAAAGGGTGTAAGAATGCACCTTTTGACACCCTTTTTTCTTGAGAGTGTGGCGTCTTGTCCGCAGTCTAGTTAACCCATTTCACTCCAAGACGGCCGTGCGCAGCTCCCTACACAAACTCCTCGATTATTATAAAACACCCGATCAGCTTGTTCAGGCTCTCCATAAAAGGTGCATCATCACTCCCATGTAGCCCACGTACAACGACTACTCCGGGCGCAAACATGACGACCACGCCTTGTCGGAGGAGATGACACTCGCCGAACTCAAACAGGCACTAGCGGTAACCCGAGTCAACACGGCTCTGGGACCCGACAGAATTACACCGCAGCGGCTGCTCAACCTCATAGATCAGGATTACTAGCACATACTCACACTCATGAATGAGTCCTGGTGCTCTGGCTTACTCACAAACGAGTGGAATACGGCCATGATCACCTTCATCCCCAAACCGGGCAAACCACAAGACATTGAAAACCTTCGTCCCATGTCACTCATCTCATGTGCGGTAGAACCTATGGAGCGAGTCATCCTTCGCCGACTCCACACTCACTTAGACAATACACAGCACCTTCCGCACCCCTCATTGGCGAACGACAACACATCTCGACTTAGGACGCGCTCCTCCAACTCCAGGGGGCAGCATTCTCCACTCCCACCACAGCTCAATTAAAAACAATTATTGCAATCAACCTCCACAAGGCTTTCAATAACGTCCATCACGACAGTGTGCTAGAAGAGCTCCAGGCAACCAATTGCGGCACCAGGCTCTACAATTATGTCCGATGCTTCCCTTACGGACGCCCATACTCCCTCAGTTTAGGTGGAATCACATCCCCTACCTTCGACCATTCCCAAAGCGGCATTTCACAAAGCTCAGTACTCTCGCCTACTCTTTTTAATCCCGCCATATGCCATATAAATCGAGCGCTAGCTCCCATACCAGACATATAGTACGCTAAATACGCCGACGATATCACCCTCCGGATATATCAAGGCTCAATAGGACACATACAGGATGCATTGCAGCACGCTCTCAACAGCATCCGACAAGCCGCCAACTAAATAGGCCTACAATGTGCTCTTACTAAATCAGAACTCCATCTAGTTCACAGTCCGCGCTGGGAACCGCCACAGATTTACCTTGAACAAAACGGTACCCGCCCCCCCCCCCCCCCCCCCTTACAGCCTAACAGCATCCGCCTTTTAGGACTCCACATCCAGCGTGATGGCGGTGGCTCAACCACGGTTAATCACCTCCTCAAACAAGGCAAACAGATTCTCAAGATGCTCCGCCGCGCCTCCACTTCCTCTCGCCAACTCAAAGAGAAAAGCATGATGAGGTTCTGCGATACCTTACTGATATCCCGCCTCCGCTACCACCTCCCGTACACCAAACTCACGCAAAGACAAAAAAATGAAACTGGATGCTCCCATTCGTAAAGGCACCAAGCTCGCCATGGGCCTACCCATCACAACTAGCACTCACCGCCTTCTCAATATGAGCTATCACAATACCGTAGATGAGCTCGTTGCTATCTAGAAACGCCGTCAGGAAATCCGCCTCCTTCTCATCCCCCAGAGTAGACACATACTCACTCAACTGGGCCATAACGCCCCACCCTCACCTCCTTCAAAAGAAGCAGCTCTCCCCACCACCACCCGTTCACATCTTATCAGAGCAGCACTCCCTCGACACATGCAACCAATGCGAAATTTAGCACGACGCGCTCAACGTATTGCCTTTTTCACACGTTACACCGCCTGCACTCCTCATCGCACATTCCTCTATAGAGATGCTATAGTACGGCTGATACAGGCACGGCCATAGCGGTCACAAATCATCATTTCAGTAGAATACAAACCGCCGTTCTTCCTCCCATGGACCCATGCTTGGCGGAACTACACGCCATTGCAGCGGCTATCACATATACCTCCGCAGGCTCTTTTACCTCCTCTCCCCATCATCTTCGCCGACTCTATGGCCGCCTGCCGACGACTCATGCACAACTCACTTCCACTTGCCATCGCACAATAAATACAACGCTACCTACTATCACCCGTTGAGATCTTCTGGATCCCAGATCATGGGGGCATGCCGGGCAACCAGAAAGCACACCTGCTCGCCCGCGAAACGCTCCACCGGGCACCCGACATCCCCAAATCTGGCCAGACGTTCCCGTGGCCTTACCTTCCCTCGAATCATATAGACACGCCCGTCGAGTCTTCCCCCACTTCACCCTCACCTCACACACCACCAAGGCACTATAATCCGCAACGCCCAAATTAACACCCTCCCCATCCCAGCCCGCATCCACCTTCTACGAGGTCTACACCCTGAGGATCCTCACCCATGCATCCACATGCGGCGACCGCCCAAATACCCATCCCATCATCAAATACCCATCCCCTCTCTCCCACCCCTCCCTAACCCCCCCTCCCTGTCCCTCCTCCCAAACCCCGAGTGGCTGACTACGGCCACCACATTCTCAGATCAAGTTTACCTGGCTCCGTACATCCAGTCCTCTCTGGAGTATGCCACCAGAGGGGGCCTGGACTGAGCACCCTGCTCATATTCTTCGGGCCTAATAAAGTTTTATCTCTCTCTAAAAAAAGGGGGACGCGCTGCCACTGAATGGTGTAGCAGAAAATGCACAGAGTTTTTTTATGGGCTCAGGCTTTATTAACTTTTATTTAGTCAGGATAGGCTCGCAGGGCAGAGTGGATGAAAAAAAGAAAAGAAAAATATGCAGTAAGCCGTCTTGGACGATCACGACTTTAACGACAGTACGAATCTCGCCACACGCCTTCTCTACTATTGCAAAAGACGATGTAATATTACCAGAGATGTAGCAACGTAGAAATATGATTTTTGTGATCACATAGACGTTGCGAGCGTTCAGAAATGCTAACACTAATCACTTTTCTCGGGTGATGACTACGCGTCGAAATTCGCATCCTTCAGACACGCCTTTAAATACAGTGCGCACCAGTAATACCTTGAACTTTAGCACACGTATGGAAGGCGCACAATAAAAAATCCGAGCAATGTCCAAGGACACAAATGGTAAGAAAGCACCACTGTCATCGAAGTACAAGACAACGTAAATGAACAGCAAAAGCACGAGCGTTTCCTCTGTCTTGAGAGTGCCACCACAACATCGCTCCACGAGCAGAGAGATCATCCCTTCTGGACGTGCTGATAATAGCGACACGCGACGAGAATTCAGCCAAGGAAAGCGCTCTACGCGGAACGATGAGCTTCCACCACGCCGAACACGTCAACTATCACCACCGACGCCACGCTTTTCAGGAGATAGTAGGAACCGCGAAATAGCGCATGCCCAGTTTAATCTTTCTCTTGCTTCGTTTACTACACGAGAGATGGCGCATAGCTCCGAGCGTTATAAAATTCGGCGATCTCCGTCACGTCGCTAATTATTCTACAAAATGGGGATAAGAATATTCTTTAAGAAAACTTTGAAGAAACATTCGCCGGCTATTTATTGTTTATGATCGCGGTGCTAGTGAGGTAGGCTCTGATCCAATAGGCGACGTGGTTTTGACTGACGTACATTGGCACCGCGGATGCATCGCCGTGAAAAGGCAGAGAGCTTTCGAATTAAAGAAGGTATAAAAGAGTTCGCTTTTCTTTTAAAAGTTCTATAGCAATTTTTTTTTTGCCTCTCTATTTTTGTTTTTCCCTTTCGGGTTTATTTTCCCACCTTTTACGATGTGCGGTGGATGAAATTCGATTTCAAAATTGTTTCACGAGCTCTTTAAGAAAAACCGAACAAAACTATTCGTTAACAACTGTTATAACGTCCACAAAGAAATATCGCGCTGAAAAATAACGCTTCCAAATATGAACCAAATAAGAAAGAAAATGACACTTGGAAGTGGAAAGTCAGTGTGCGGAATACATTTTAGCATCAAACAATAGTCTGAAAAAGAAAGATTTTTTTTTTTTATTCTCGTTTGGATTTTTGTTGCTAATAACAATTAAAGAAATTAAACTATTGAGGATCGTGAGGAGCGTACACTTCTCTAAAATTTGCCTGCCTCTACACCCTGAGAACAGTCTGCGAGTTTACTTTTCTACCAGAACACAAATTCAACTTCACCCAACTACCAGAACACGAAGAGAGCCAATCACGACGAAAAATAGGATTCTGTGAATGAGCTAGTGAAATTGTATGCTCACTGTCCCGGCGCAGGTCGCATTTTTCGGTCTAATCATGCCCTAAGCGTCATCATTCGCTAGGATCCTTCCGTTGTTCGGTCTGACGCAGATTTTTTTTTTTTTTTAGAGTATACGGGTAAAACTTTCACAATATTCGGCTCGCCGAGTTCAATAAAATTCGATTTTGTGTGTAAACTCTGCAAATATCGATGGTCAATTTATCTGTTTCTCTCAAGTTTCTATTTTATGCTGTTTACAACTGCTTAACTAAGAAACGATGAGTATATTAAAATTTTAAAACAGCCCTTCGTTACTATATGGGCACAGGACATATTATAACTTATATG